ATGAACGAAATGAAGAAGAAGTTATACATTGGGAAGGTTTTACCTAAAAACCATTTAATCTCTGTCTGTGTTTAGTACTTATGTTAGACCTCTAACTGTTATCTAATGTCAACAAGTGAGAATAGTTCAGTGTGAGTGTTGGGTACTGTTTTAATCAGTTACTTTAAAAAAGAAATCTTTTTTGTCAGTGTAAGGTCAATGACATATGGGGATATTAATTGTTAGTATTTAATTAATATAAAACATTTAACCTCCAAATCCCCACACACTGACTTCTGAGAAAAGTTGAAAATATATTTAATCAGACATTCGGGTTATTTCAGTATCTTCATTCTGCCCGGGTCACTTACAAGCACACAGCTGGAGGCACTGACTGATAAGACCATAAATCATGTTGACAGTGGATCATTTGGCCATAGGGAATAGATTAACTCTCAGGTGCAGTTTTCACCCTCGTGAAGTTCATTTAGTGATATACAGAAAGCACTAATGAGCCAGACCATGTTTTTGCATATATTAGATGATATTAGTACCTCTGGGAGTTTACTGAAGCCCACTGTACAAGCTGTTAGCACAGGATGGATGAGACAAAGTAGCATGCGTGGTCTTTGACGGCTGTCTGAAATGACAGAAGGTGTCTGATGGGAACAGGAGGAGATTATTCAATTTGAATATCTAGTTTCTTTAATCATCTCTTTGCAAGAGCCTGATATTATTTCCTGTTTGCTTCTCTGTCCCAGCTGAATTCCCCGGGCCTGCTGACTATGCCCCAAAGCTCCACCTCCAGTGAGGATGAGATGGCCCAGAGCTTTTCCGACTACTCTGATGATTGTGCCTCCGAGAGCTCCCGCGAAGAAACCATCTATGAGACTATAAGGGCCACTGCAGAGCCATCGCAGAACCGCATGGACGACATTCACACGAACTCACTGGTTATCCGTCTCTTGATCCCTGACTTGCAGCAGACAGTGAGTATCTGTGAAGGATGAGAACAGAGCTTTTGAGAGTGCTGATGTTAACCTCGTAGCATCCACCAGCTCACCTGCATCTAGGGTAGGGTTAGGCAAACATCCACCTCTTTTTTTGTTAAAATTTTCATCTTTTTGGGACGCCAGAGCTCAAAGCGTTTAACAGAACAATATTAATGTTAACATTAACGTATGAGATTTCATCAGTAAGGGAAACGACCTCGACCCTAACCCTAGATGGGATGCCAGTAACCCGATAAATGTTTTGAATTGATCATGTTTGTGACTGTGTGAAATATTAACGTGACTGATGAACATAAACTTGCGACTTGATATGTACTGGAAATGAATGCTGTGTATTCTAACACCTTCTAACCTCTTTTGTGATCTAAAAGCTTTTATTGAAAGCTGGCTTGCAGTAAACTCAAACGCAATGATGCCATTAATGTGTGAGACCTGCAGGAAAGGTACAGTCGGTGGCATTTCAGTTGTGGCTTACAAACAGTGTCACCATGCATTAAACAGATAGGAATCTTTATAAAAAT